ATTCCTCCTTGCCGTATCCGGATCAATGATGATCAAGCGCACGCAAGGCGGCGGGGTAATGGGCCGCCTGTCTTTGTCACCAAAGCCGCACATGCGCGCTCGCTTGGGCTGCTGGACAACGTCGAGCCTACGGGATTGGGAGTCAGCACTGATGGAAGGTCTCGGGCATCTAGCTGTGCAAACGTACTTGTATGTTCGACCACCCTCATCTTTCCTGGACACAGGCTCGATGCTGCGCGTGGGCTCAGGAACAAGTTGCGCTTGGTGGGGTGGAGCGCCGCCGGGCATCTCAGGCGGGGGCATCTGCGAAGGGAGCTGCGGTTGCATCTGGGGAGGCATTTGGTGTGTCGAGTATTGAGGCATCGGGGGCAGAGAGTTCTGGGGGTGAGCAGAAGGGTGGCCGGGGTGCTGGTACTGCTGCTGGTGGTGTTGCTGCGGGGGCGGATATTGATGCTGTTGCTGGGCGTGCGGGAGATGCTGGGGAGGTCCATGGTGGGAGGGCGCAGGCGGATAGTGGTGGTAGCTCGGAGCCATATTCTGCGGATGCTGCTGCTGATGAGGATGCGACTGCAGGTGCTGGTGCTGGTCGTAGCTCATGATGGCGGTAGGTTTCTTGTTGGCTCGCTATCGAGATGGTGCGGGAGACAATGTTGCGAGAGCGTCGCGAATGCCCAGGTGATCGAGAGGGCTTCCGGCGGCTCGCCTGTCGGCCTGATGACGGGGACGCAGGATTGTACTATGGCTGGCTGGCTGGCTCTCGTTTCTTCAGCAGGCACACCCAGGGGCGAATGGTATGGTGTTGGTCGTTCGAATGGTTGGATGTTGAGGCTCAGCCTGATTCGATCGATCCGCCGTGAACTCCCGACGTCGCGATGGCTAGCCGACTGGCCCGAGAGGCTGCGGAGACTCGAAGATGGAGGCGGGGTTGTGATGCGCAAGGGCATCAGACCAAGGGCGAGGGGGCGCCTGACGAGGGAGAAGTTGAAGCCTTGCGGAAAGCGCCAGTTGAGAAAGAGAATAAAAAGGCATGCGGTTTAGGTAGATAAGGTGGTGCTGGTGCAGGCGCAGGTGTAGGTGCAGGTGCCGACACCGACGTAGACGTAAACGCAGACACTGATGGGCATTGGGCAGAGCTGTCTCAAGACGGAGGAGCTGGACTAGATGGAAGGCGGAACATTGAAGG